GAGTTGGTTCTTTGAGAAAATCAATAAGATAGATAAACCATTAGCCAGATTAACCAGAGGGCACAGAGACAGTATCCAAATTAATAAAATCAGAACTGAAAAGGGAGACATAACAACAGAAACGGAAGAAATTAAAAAAATCATCAGATCCTACTACAAAGGCCTATACTCAACAAAACTGGAAAACCTGGATGAAATGGACAATTTCCTAGACAGATACCAGGTACCGAAGTTAAACCAGGAGCAGATAAACCATCTAAATAGTCCCATAAACCCTCAGGAAATAGCAGCAGTCATTAAAAGTCTCCCCACTAAAAAAAGCCCAGGACCAGATGGTTTTAGCGCTGAATTCTATCAGACCTTCAAGGAAGACCTAATACCAATTCTCTTCAAACTATTCCACAAAATAGAGACAGAAGGAACACTACCCAATTCGTTCTATGAAGCTACAATTACACTCATACCCAAACCCCACAAGGACCCGACAAAGAAAGAGAACTTCAGACCAATCTCCCTTACGAACATCGATGCAAAAATACTCAATAAAATTCTAGCAAACCGAATCCAAGACCACATCAAAACAATCATCCATCATGATCAAGTAGGTTTTATCCCAGGAATGCAGGGATGGTTCAATATTTGGAAATCCATCAATCTAATCCACTATATAAACAAACTCAACGAAAAAAACCACATGATCATCTCACTAGATGCTGAGAAAGCATTTGACAAAATTCAACATCCCTTCATGATAAAAGTCTTGGAAAGATCAGGAATTCAAGGCCCATACCTAAACATAGTAAAAGCAATTTACAGCAAACCAGTAGCCAACATCAAGCTAAATGGAGAGAAACTTGAAGCAATCCCACTAAGATCAGGGACTAGACAAGGCTGCCCACTCTCCCCCTACCTATTCAATATGGTACTGGAAGTCTTAGCCAGAGCAATTAGACAACAAAAAGAAGTCAAAGGGATACAAATAGGAAAGGAAGAAGTCAAAATATCGCTATTTGCAGATGATATGATAGTATACTTAAGTGACCCCCAAACTTCCACCAGAGAACTCCTAAACCTGATAAACAACTTCAGCAAAGTGGCTGGTTATAAAATCAACTCAAACAAATCAGCAGCCTTCCTCTACATGAAAGATAAACAGACTGAAAAAGAAATTAGGGAAATGACACCTTTCACAATAGTTGCCAATAATATAAAATACCTTGGTGTGAATCTAACCAAGCAAGTGAAAGACCTGTATGACAAGAACTTCAAGTCTCTGAAGAAAGAAATTGAAGAAGATCTCAGAAGATGGAAAGATCTCCCATGCTCATGGATTGGCAGGATTAATATAATAAAAATGGCCATCTTGCCAAAAGCAATCTACAGATTCAATGCAATCCCCATTAAAATCCCAACTCAATTCTTCACAGAGTTAGAAAAGGAAATTCTCAAATTCATATGGAATAACAAAAAACCCAGGATAGCGAAAACTATTCTCAACAATAAAAGAACTTCGGGAGGAATCACCATCCCTGACCTCAAGCTGTACTACAGAGCAATAGTGATAAAAACTACCTGGTATTGGTACAGAGACAGGCAGGAAGATCAATGGAATAGAATTGAAGACCCAGAAATGAACCCACACTCCTATGGTCACTTGATCTTTGACAAAGGAGCTAAAACTGTCCAGTGGAAAAAGGACAGCATTTTCAACAAATGGTGCTGGTTCAACTGGAGGACAACATGTAGAAGAATGAAAATTGATCCATTCTTATCCCCTTGTACAAAGTTCAAATCTAAGTGGATAAAGGACCTCCACATAAAACCAGATACACTGAAACTAATAGAAGAGAAGGTGGGGAAAAGCCTCGAATACTTGGGCACAGGGGAAAAGTTCCTGAACAGAACTCCAATGGCATATGCTCTAAGATCGAGAATTGACAAATGGGACTTCATAAAATTGCAAAGTTTCTGTAAGGCAAAGGACACTGTCAATAGGACAAAACGACAACCAACAAATTGGGAAAAGATCTTTACCAATCCTTCATCTGATAGAGGGCTAATATCCAATATATACAAAGAACTCAAGAAATTAGACTCCAGACAACCAAATTACCCTATTAAAAAATGGGGTATAGAGCTTAACAAAGAATTTTCAACAGAAGAAACTCCAATGGCCGAGAAGCACCTAAAGAAATGCTCGGCATCCTTAGTCATCAGGGAAATGCAAATCAAAACAACCCTGAGATTCCATCTCACACCAGTCAGAATGGCTAAGATTAAAAACTCAGGTGATAGTAGATGCTGGCGAGGGTGTGGAGAAAGAGGAACACTCCTCCATTGTTGGTGGGACTGCAAGATGGTGCAACCACTTTGGAAATCAGTGTGGCGGTTCCTCAGAAAATTGGACATAGCATTACCCGAGGATCCAGCTATACCACTCCTAGGCGTATACCCAGAAGGTGCTCGAACATATAATAAGGACATATGCTCAACTATGTTCATAGCAGCCTTATTTATAATAGCCAGGAGCTGGAAAGAACCCAGATGTCCTTCAACTGAGGAATGGATTAAAAAAATGTGGTATATTTACACAATGGAGTATTACTCAGCTATTAAAAACAATGAATTTGAGAGGTTCCTAGGTAAATGGATGGAACTAGAAATTATCATACTGAGTGAGGTAAGCCAATCACAAAAGAACACACATGGTATTTACTCACTGATTATTGGATATTAGCCCAGAACCTTAAAATGCCCAAGATGCAACTCACAGGCCACATGAAGTCCATAAAGAATGAAGACCAAGTGGGGGTGATTCGGTCCTTCTTAGAAGGAGCAACAAAATACTCAAGGGAGCAAATATGGAGACAAAGCGAGGGACAAAAACTGAAGGAGGGGCCGTCTGAAGACCTTTCCACCTGAGTATCCATCCCATGTGCAGTCACCAAAGGTAGATGCTGATGTGGAAGTCAGGAAGTGCATGCTGATAAGAGCCTGATATGGATGTCTCCTCAGAGGTCTTCAAGAGTCTGACATATTCAGAGGCAGATGCTCACAACTAGCCATTGAAGTGATCATGGGGTTCTCAATGGAGGAGTTAGAGTGAAGACTGAAGGAGCTGAAAGGATTTGTGGCCCCATGAGGAGAGCAACAATACCAACCAACCACAGCTCCCAGGGTCTAAACCACCAGCCTGGGAGCACTTATGGAGGGATCCAGGGCCTTAGCTGAATATATAAGAGTGGAGGGCCCTGCTGGGCACAGGTGGAAGATGAGATCCTTGACCTCATGAAGGCTGGACGCCCCAGGGGGTGGGAGTTTTGAGGGTGGGGAGGTGGGAGTGGGGGGGTAGATAGAGGTTACATCCACAAAAAAAAAAACCGGGCTGGGAGGGGAGGGGGGGTTCCGGGGGGGGGGGGGCCGGGGGTAAGGGGACAACATATTAAATTTAAATAAAACATCCAATAAAAAAATTAAAGAAAAAAAAAAAAAAGAAAAGAGGCAACCTCTAAATTAATTTACACAGACAATATTACCCTGATACTAAAAATAGACAAGCAAATGATGTGACAGAGTGGTGTCAAGAAATGGCAGTGAAGGAAGAGAGGCTGTAGTTAGCTAGTTGAAGAATAACCTAGAGGTGAAAGATGGAACAATCACTTAGACCAGGGCTTGGTAAACTACAGCACATAGGCCTTCTATGCCTGTCAGGTCACTTTGTTGAGACAGAGTTTTTCTGGGTAGCCCTGGCTATCCTGGAACTCACTCTGCAGATCAGGCTGGCCTCAAATTCATAGAGGTCTGCCTGCTTCTGCCTTCTTAGTGCTGGGATTAAAGGCACGTACCACCATGTTCTGTTGTCCCTTCATTTTTGTTTAAAACAATATTTCCTCAGTCACGCACTTGCATTTTAGTACTGTTGATGGCTGCTTTCAATGCTCCCACACCAGAAGTGAGTTGCTGTGACAGACTGGAAGGCCACAGAGATTACACTATCATTTGTTCCTTTAACAGAAAATACTTCCTGAACCCTGACTTAGACATGTTTTTCTTGTTTTGCCTGCAAAGGAACATATGACTAAACACATAGGTAGAAGGAGAAACAAATGGAATGTTTTGCTTTTTTTATTTAGATTTCAAAGAAATTAGCAAGACCCTATATAAAAGGAAGCTGCCAATGTACTGAAGAGGGAGGAAATGAAGCACTAACCAAAGGAGTGAGAGTTTGTGGAGTTGAAGGGGATTGTCACTTATTATGTGGTAAAATGCTTATAATAAATTCACAGAAGTGTGTGAAGGATAGATCTGCAAGAAAGCTTAGAATCTATGGTCATACTCTAAGGAATACTGAAAAGAAAAGTGATCTTTTGCCAAACTCTGAGCTGTAGTTCAACTATCAGCACATTGCACTGGAGAGTCTAGTCAATCAAGAACTGTCAGGGACTCTGTAACCATGTTATGTCACCAAGATGCTTAATAATAACGTAACTCTCCTGGCGCTGGGATGCTGTGAAAATTAAGAGGCAGAGTCTTTCATTACATCTGAACCCTGAAAAGTTCTGTTAATGAAAAGCATTAAATCTGATTTAACCACCAGAGGAAAACTAGTTAGAACCAGCCTCAGATCTGGTTTGTGGTTTCCTGAAACACTTACCCATTTTCTGTTTAGCATGATGTATATATACTACTAGGCATCTTTTCCTTCCATGGTTGAACTTGAAATTTCTGTATGGAGTGTGTGGGGTGATGCAGTGTGTGTGTGTGTGTGTGTGTGTGTGTGTGTGTGTGTGTGTGTATACACACAGAGGTGTATAGCATCAGAGTGGATAACACCCACCGCTTCCACAGGCTTACCAGGGGCCAGAAGAGACACTTGGCTGGGAAAGTGAATGGAATAAAAGGCAGCTGTGACCTGACTTAAGAATAAATCGCTTGCCCTTCCCAGGGGCATTTGACTTTTCTTTGTTGGGAGATTAAAAATTTCACACAGAAACACTTACCTGTTCCCATGAAGAAATCATATGACGTTCAGCAGGCAGCTTTTCTATTATGCTCACCTCTGTCACACCTGGAGAAGATTCTAGAAGACGTAAAACAGAGTACAAAGTTGTAACTGACTCACTCACATTTTGTGCTTTATGTTGATTAAGTGTTGATGGACTGCTCTGTGGCTATCCAATCCTTCTATGAGTGTTTACATCCCCTGTCAGCAAAGAAAAGGACTGACTGAGCCCTCTAAGCCCAATACCATATCTTTGAAGGACACAGCCTAACTTGAAGGAAGACTACCACCTAACCCTCTACAACTCTCTACATTTATCTAGTTGAACAAAATACAGAGATTCTAAAATTTCAGTGATTTCACACTGGACTTCTTAGTAAATACCCAAGTATTTGGTCCTTACAGTTAAAAAGAATGAGGAATAGCACCACTTTAACTTTCTATAAGAAATAAGACTTATCCAGGAGTAGTGGTGCAGTACTTTAATCCAGTACTTAGGAATCAGAGGAAGGCAGGCAGCTAGAGATTAATATGATCTACATGGCAAGTTCCAGGACAGTCAGGACTACACAGAAAGACTCTGTCTCAAAAAACCAGAAAAAAACAACAAAAAAGAAAGACTTGATTCTTCTAAATAAAATTCATCTGAACATATCATTCTACTTGATGGAGTTCAGGATTTAAAAACTAGTCTAAGCTAGGCAATGTTGTTACCAACCTCTATTAGAAGTATTTGCCAGTTCCCATGGAACTAAGCAGATAGTGGTGGAACACTCTGCTTTCCTCCTTCCTATGGACCTCCTCAGATCCTCCTCCTGCTGCTTGGAAGAGATGCTTGCTTGGAACCAATGGGACTCAGGTAGAAGGTATAAAGGGTGCCCCCCCCCATGGATTATTAAACGTGCTTGTGGGAGTGTTCATACGAGCTTGCTGCAGTGTTCTCACCTGTTCCAGGAGTCTGTGCCACCTCATCTCCAACCCTCAAACGCAAGTAAGATTGGGTAGCAGGTGGTCCAGGGCACAGGCAGCATTCCACAATAAAACCAAATTTAAACAATTTTTGTCTATAAATCTATACCCACAGAAAGCACTAGAAGGAAAACTGCAATCTAAAGAGGTTCATTATTTACAGCTCCAGTTGGTGGTGTGAACATGAGAGAGCAGGGCCTAAAAATGGGACAGACTAAAGTCTCATGCAATAGCCAACTTTATTCAGAGCATCAGACAATGTATACTTGAGGTTAAGAAAAGTCACCTGAGTAAAGTTTACAATCATAAGGACAAGCCACATGTGGCCCAGGCATGTTTTTCCATAGGGGCATATAAACAAATAACCAAAAGCCAGTTGTAAATAATCTCAAGGAAAACTCATTACTATCTGCTACACCTGGAAAGGGCATCTAAAGCACATTCTAAGAATGAACGCCATGTGTTATATGAGCTTGCTCGTAAGGAGGAACAGATTACAAGACTCTTTGTTTACTTGGAGTTTTCTCATGAGGTCCGAGAAATCTTACACTGCTTTATTCATAAACCGTGTTCCAACAGTTAACTACACCCCCCAAAAATATAGGGAATAAATAATCGCAGACCAACAAATCAAAAGAGGGGAAACACACACAAGCATGCTCAAGAGCAAACACAACATAACAATAAAACAACAAGAATCAGCAAACACTGCTTATTCTCTCTTATTAACTCTCAATGTCAATAGTCTCAATTCTCCAATAAAAAGACAGAGACTAATAGACTGGGTATAAAAATAGGATCCAAGAAACACACCTTAACATCAAGTATAGTCATCACTTCAGGGTAAAAGGATGGAAAAAGTTGTTACAAGCAAATGAACCTAAAACCCAAGCTGGCGTGGCAATTTTAGTATCAACAACAGAAACACAAAACAAAAAGAAAGAAGAAAGCTTATAAAAGCCATGGAAACCAAACATCTCTCTACTTAATGAAAAATGGGGCAAGACAGAAATAAAGAAATTAAAGACTTTTGGGCTGTTGAGATGGCTCAGTGGTTAAGAGCACTGACTGCTTTTCTGGAGGTCATGAGTTCAAATCCCAACAACCACATGGTGGCTCACAACCATCCATAATGAGATCTGATGTCCTCATATAGGTGTCTAAGACAGCTACAGTTGACTTTGGGTCTGGAATGAGTCGGGCTGGGAGTGGGGGACCAGAGGGAGGGGGGAAGAAATTAAAGACTTTCTAGAATTCAATGAAAACAAATGTACAACATACCCAAACTTATGGGACACAATGAAGGAGGTGCTAAGAGGCAAGTTCACAGCACTAACTGTAAGGGGTGATATTTAGAAAACAGTGCCTGGTCCAGCTTGTTCCTGGGCAGCTGCCATGTTCTTGTTGTTCCTTGGTTCTGACCAGGGCTCTGACTAGCTGGACGAACAGGCCCTGGCACCCACGAGACGCCAGTGTGGGGGATGCCTCAAAGCTCAGCTGAACTTCAGACAATATCTGCCATCCTTGAAGTACCCAGTAGAAATTAGATTCTTAAAGCTGAATGATTATCTAAAGGATTTATATTTATTATCACCCAATATCTAACCTTTTGATAGAAGTTGCTACCCAGACAGCTTTCAACTCATCCGTGGTTCTCCATGGCTGATAGCCCCCCTCTTCTCCTCCATTTTCTCTCTTTCTCTCCCACCTCCTCTTCTACTGCTAATCACTGAGCTTCACTTTGAATACAATGTTGCGGAATAAGTGTCCTGCTACAACTAAGTGCCTACATTAACAAAACTGCAGAGATTTTGTATTAGCAAATTATCAGCATATCTGAAAATTCTAGAACAAAAGGAAGAAATTATACCCAAAAGTAGTAGACAGGAAGAAATGATCATACCCAGGCTGAAATCTATAAAATATAAACAATACAAAAGAATCAATGAAATAAAGACCTGGTTTTTTTTTTTTCAATAAAAAAAATCAATAAAATCAAAATATCTTTATCCAAATTAATTAAAAAGCAGAGAGAATATCCAAATTAAGAAAACTGGAAATGAAAAGGCAAATAGAACAACAGACACCTAGGAAATTCAGAGAATTATATGGACATGCTAAAAACTGCCCCAAAATTGGAAAATCTAAAAGAAATGGAAAATTAGCAAATCACTAATCAAGATCAGATAAATAGTCTCATAACCCCTAGTAAAATAGAAGCAGTCATTAGAAATCCCCCAACCAAAAAAGTTCAGGGCCAGATAGTTTTAGCATAGAATTCTACCAGACTTTCAAAGAAGAGTTAATGCCAACTATTCCTCAAACTATTTCACAAAATAAAAACAGAAGAAACATTCATTTTATGAGGTCACAATCACCCTGATATTCAAACCACATAAGACTCAACAACAACAAAAATTAGAATTATAGACCAATTTTCCATATGAAGATAGATGCAAAAATACTCAATAAAATACTTACAAATCGAATCTAAGAGTACATCAAAAAGATACCCACTATGATCAAGCAGGCTTCATCCCAGAGATAGAGGAATGGTTTAATATATGAAAATCAACAAATGTAATCTACCAAATAAAGTAAAAACAAAACAAAATACATGATTATTTCATCAGATGCAGAAAAGGCCTTTGACAAAATCCAACATCCATGTATGATAAAAGTTCTTGAGAGATTAGGGATACAAGAGACAAATCTCAACATAAAGGAAGTTTACAACAAGATCATAGTCAACATTCACATAAATGCAAGAAATGTATTTACACTAAAATTAAGAACAAGATAAGGTTGCCCACTCTCTCTATACTTATTCGATATAGTACTTGAAGTCTTCCCTAGAGCTATAAGAGAACTGGAGATAAATTGGAAAGGAAGAAGTCAAAGTATGATTATATGCAGATGATATGGTAGTATACATAAATGATCCCAAAAAGTTCCACTGGGAAACCCCTACATCTGATAAACACTTTCAGCAAAGGAGAGGGACACAGAAATCAGTAGCCCTCCTATATACATATGACAAATGGACTAAAAAGCAATCAGAAAACAAACAACTTTCACAATAGCCTCAAATAATATAAAATGCCTTGAGGTAACCAAACAAGTGAAAGACTTGTAGGATAAAAACTTTAAGACACGGAAGAAAGAAACTGAAGAAGATAAACCATGTTCAGTTATTGGTAGAATTAATGTAGTAAAAATGGATATCTTACCAAAAGCAAGCTACAGGTTCAATGAAAGCCCCATTAAAATTTCGAAACAATTCTTCATTAATCTTGAAAGAACAATTTTCACCTTCATATGGAAACACAGAAAACTCAAGGCACTGAAAACAATCTTGAATGACAAAAGATATGCAAGGAAATCATCATTCCCAAAACCTAGAGTTAAGGATAGCCCTGGTGCTTTTTGTATTTCGATGCTAATTCCGCTTCCAGGGAGGGGCAGTCTGAGGGGAGGAGTAAATCTCATAGTCAGGTGACTAAGTCTTATGAACCTTCCCCTAATGAATAAAGATTTCAAGAAACCAATCACTGGGCGAGTAGGCGAGCAGGCTGGAGAGACAGTAGAAGAGGGAGACTTGGCTTTGGGATGGAAGAGGGGCATGGAGGCCAAAATGTAGGTAGCCGAGGCCGCCTTTCAGGTGGCAGATCCATTGAGGTCCACCACAAGAGGATTTAACTTAGAATGGCTTACAAATTAGGATGCTAGTTGCTGCGCCCAATGATTGTGTTACCTGTTGATTCTAAACTAAGTTTGTGTGGTGTTTACCTTCACACAGTGACTCAACTAGGTTCCGGAGAGAAAGGTACAGAGGCAAAGAGTGGGTTTTCTGAGAAGTGCACCCCAGCTAGCTGTGGTAATTTGGAAGCATGGGGCTGGCATGGCAACAGTCTGTCATGGAAACTGGGTCAGCTGGGTAGAAAGAGCACCACCTATAGTAATGAAATGGGCACAGTACTGGTACAAAAATAAATATGTTGACCAATGACATTGAATTGAAGATTCAGACATAAATTCAAACTGGACACCAGACTTTTGAGAAATACACATTGTATTTCTGTATACAGTGCTTGTGCTGGTCACACTGG